ATTCATGCAAGTCTTAAGCAGTCTAATGTTCGAAGCATATCTGTTGATCAAGATCTGAAAACTCATGAAAGTTGTATGATTAGGAACTTAATTTTGTTTTTTTAATCTGATGAGGTAGTGATGCAGACGTCAATTACAACTGATAATACATTTCCTTCTACGGATGTAGATTCACTTATCAACAATGAGCCGATAAAGACGGAAAACTAGAAGAAAATCTACAACTATGAACAATTTTCTCCATATTTTATAGCCTATTTATTTTCTTGTCGTATGTTTATTCACGTCACTTGCATTCATCTATTTAAAATTCAGCAATTAACCTTTGTGAAAATCCATGGTATATACGAGAAAGGATCTTAGAGTTTTAAAAACATGAAATTTTTGTAACGTACTTTAGAAATGTTTAGCCGTCATTAAAAAAATGAACTAACTGTCTTATTATTTAATCGATCATTTTTTTTATACAAATCAACATCTGTTTTGAAGACAACTGAATTTTAAAGTAAACTCCGACATTTATATAAATCAGAGTCAATATCAATGTCCAATGAGTCATCTTTTTATTACACTGATGATCACACAAACAGCGTCAAAAGTTCATAAACAAAGAAATAGAGAATTTCATATATATTTTTTTTACTTCATCTTTCGATTTGTTAAAAATTTTATTTACAACTCAAATTTAAGCGCATGCAAATATTAGTGTACATTTTCTCATCACCACAACACGAAACGCAAGGTTAAGTAAAAAAGAGGAAGAACACATGAAAAACGAAATTTATGTGATGATGAGCACATGGTTGGAAAAAAGCTGTCTACGTGATAAAAAAGGTCATGGTCCATTGATTCACGTAAACATACATTTATGGGTAAAAAACCAACTCATATTATTGATTTTAAATACAGAATAAAACCTATTGCAAGCACATCAAACAAAATTTGTACACTCAACTATCGACACTAGCACGCAAGTATATTTAATTTCCAACATTCTTAGACTAGTGATAACATTAAATTTGAAAGTAAAGAGTGACTACAAACAAGAAAAAAACGAAAGTAGTTTTACGAGAACTACGCTGGGTGATAATCAGAATATGCAGTCGATTGTCTTGATTGAAGAAGTTCTTTCATGTATTATAGGCTTACTGCAAACCACGTTACACACATTAACTTTTTATACCTACATTGCACCGGGAGTATCAGTAATGAAAGGCACAATTTTCAATTTTTATGAAGATATCGTAGCAAAGGAATTCAAGAAATTATAATAGAATTTGCTCTATGATATAGACACATAAAAAGAATCTATTTAAATCTTAATGTACTGAATCAAAATCTAAGATTTGTACATGAAAACAATAAGTCCTTATTCACAGAATAGAGTAAGTGTTCAGATAATCTCTTGAAAGCTAGCTCACATAAAAAAACAACCTTCATGCAGTAATCATTAGAGAAAATGAAATCGAATCGATTTCGACATTTCATCACTCCAGCTGTGTTCTTTTTGTATAGAACACAAGCTTATATAAGAGAAAGGAAACTCGGAAGGAGAGAGAAATAAGAAGAGAGAAAATAGTGAATATAGGAAAGAAAGAGAAGGCAGCTATTATCTTTCATGAGGTTCTATTATTGACACACTAAGAGCATGATCAAAGTTCATAATTCTATTGTTGTGCAACAAAAGAAAAAATTATAATCAGTTATAACTTAGATTTTGTTTATACTGCTGTACTGGCTAATACACGATAAGGGGAAACAAACAAAATAGAGTCTTTTCCGATATACAGTAATCGCCATAAGTGGCCGCGATTGAAAAAACGAGGAAGACAAAGGAGTTATTTGGTCATATTTTATTTATGAAACTTACATTATATGTGCATCATCCTCATAATTAATATAATGGCTTTTTCTTCCAATTAACAATGCTACTCTATTTTCCATAGAATCACCTAATTTTTCAACAAATTCAATAGCGAAGTTTCTCCATTCTTTTTTTTATTCTTTCAATGAAATTATTGATCGATATATACGGTTCTTTTTTTATTCTGAGCTTCACTAATGCCTAGACACTTTCACTTGGGTTAAAGTCTTCCAGTTTTATATCCTGCTGGGGTCTTTTTTAAAATATCGTCACTTGTTAGCAATGGTTTCGAGGTCGGTCTCATTGAATGTACACCGGTCTCTTTAAGTCTTCTTCTTAATGTGGTTTTACTAATTTTTATATCTTTCTGTGATAATCTAAACGCAATTTGACCGACAGATTCGATTGAATGTTGAGCTACCATGGATTGAATTGTTGCGTACTGTTTTTCCGGTATAGACTGAATTTTTGTGCAACTTATACATCACCAGCTATATCATACCTTCTAAGCCTACATTTTACAATTACTTCCTGATTCGTATAGATACTGTGAAATATTACCATTTGACATATGTAGCGAATAGCTCTGCCTTTATAGAAAGATAATTTCTCGTCTTTTCTTTAAAAAAAGGTTCATTTTCTATTGAGTTATAAATTGATAACAGAATGAATACAAATGTTCCTATTTATACCGGATGATGAGTCCAACTAGCCCGTCCAAACAAAACAGAAAGATGAAATAAAAGTCATTGTTGGAGAAGAAAAAGGGGTCGCGGCCACTTATGGCGAGTACTGTAGAAAAAAGACGAAAAAAAATCGATTAAAATCAGATTTTTTTCCGTTTTTTCTTTTCGTAAGACTTCACTGTTACAAAGCTATGCTATTTGCTAATATATTTCAGCCTTTTTAATCATGTCGTTCCGATCTGTCTAGTCTTTTCACAAACAGTCCTAATTGAGGACTAGTCTAAGGTCTGGTGTGTCCTTAAATCTTGTCCCAAATTTGTCACTGACAAGCATCAGCACACATATAATATCTGGTCTTGTTCAAGTGAAAGATTCGCGTAGGGCTACTTTAGTGTCGGTGATATATCAAATTATTATCAAAAATGCAGACTAGTTCTGGGCGAAGTCGTTTCGAGGTGAAGGATCGTATGATCGAAAATTCAACTTCTACATCTTGGTGAACATTTATAGACATTATTTAATTGAATTCTATTCATATATTTTTTAAAGTTTTTATATGGATAAAAAACCTTTGTATTCTAATACGAATTTATATATCCCCCTGAAATAAAATAGCTTAACTCGGTATCTTTAATAGATCATTGCTATAAATCAATATTTTTAGAAAAATAATTATATATTCGGATAGCTCGTGAAATTCTCTACAAGTCTATATATGTGCGTTTGGAATTGCATTTGTTCGCTAAAAATACGCTCAAGCACAGTGAAGGCACCCTCATCGTCAGATTCCTCTGAAATGCTTTTTTTAACTCCTTGTTCATTCATATTTTTAAGTTTATTTTGAATATGCGAACTAGTTATTACAAAAGTATATATTCTAAGAGCGCATGAAATGCTCTATTACTCTGTACTTTGGTCAGTCTTGTCTTGCAATTATTTGATAACGAATACTTCGAGTATTGTTGAAGGTTTAGGCCATATCGTTCTGCAAAATGGTTTATCATAGACCAATCACTCTCAGTAGCATTAAGATAAGGACTCACAAGTGGATAATTATTCATACATCTTATTCGATTATCGGATAACCATTCATGGGCTGCTGTATGAGTTCACGTGTAGTAATCGAGAGTGGCAGTGTTACAGTGAGGGTACATTAACAATACTCGAAGTATTTATTATCAAATAATTACAAGACAAGACTAGCAAAAGTACAGAGTGATAGAACATTTCATGCGCTCTCAAAATATATACGTACTTTTGTAGTAACTTGTTCGCATATTCAAAATAAACTTGAAAATATGAATGAAGAAGGAGTAAAAAAAAGCATTTCCGAGGAATCTGACGATGAGGGTGCTTTCACTGTGCTTGAGTTTATTCTTAATGAACAAATGCAATTCCAAACGTACATATATAAACTTGTAGAGAATTTCATGGGCTATCTGAATATATAATTACTTTTCTAAAAATGTTGATTTATAGCAATGATATGTTAAAGATACTGAGTTAAGCTATTTTTTCCAGGGGGATATATAAGTTCAAACAAGGCTGTTTTTTTTAATTAAAATGTTATTTTCATCAAGTTTTAGTAAAAATTAATGAATGCCAACAAATACCATGTTCAAAATAAATTAATAATTTTTTTGTTTAATTGAAGAGAAGATAATGTATATAAGCATCATAATTTTATTTTATTACGAAATTAAGTTAATCCATTTTAAAGTTAGAACTAGAATAGATTTGTGCAATCTAAATTAATTCTTAAATTAAACTAATCAGAGTGTATATTTAAAGTTAAATAAAATTGTAATGCAACAAAAAATATTCATATTATTTTAGGGTTGGTGTAGATCTTTTCTTTATTAACACTCACACACTCGCCCCTCACTTGTTTCCGACCATTTTGATTGTCTAGCAAATGAATAAGTACCTGTCTGCTATTTGAACTATTAAAGCTGACATTAGTCTCTTGGTAAGACATGATGTGGCACCAGGACACGCATCACGTGTCGAATACAGATAGGTCAGTTGTTCGAATCCATCTTTTGTGTGCAGCTTTTACTGTTTTTCTGTCCTACGGATTAATCTGGATAGGTTAAATAGACAAACAGACTAGACATGTCGGGGTTCAACGACATCCTGAACGAGTCCAGACATCATTGCAGAACTTTTTCTTGTCAAGATAACTAGTCATGACGAGTATTGCAGACATTTCACTTATTTTTTGCTTACTTGTGTATTCTTCCTTGCTTCCTGCTTGATGTAAAGAGACTTTACCCGTCCATCGTCGTCATGTCGTCAGCAACACTCTTGAAATAAATCAACGATCGACAGAGAAGAAGTCCTTAAAGTCTATAGCAACCAGCCGAAAAAAATGTGAACAAAAAGAATAAACAATTCTTTATACATAGGGAGACGACCTCTCAGTTATTGCATTCATTCACTCATCTGTTATGGACAAACAAAAATCGACAACAACTGCTGCTGGTGGACTATCAACAAAGGCTATCACCACCAATCATGCTGCTGTGCTACCCCAACCTGTTCGCCGAGTACTCCAAAATTTTCTTCTGATCTGGCTTGATGCCAATTTCGATGAATCCAAAGATCATTATAACAAGTCAATACAAGATCTACAACATATTGTAGCAACAATCACAACATTTACAGATGTTGATCAATGTGTTGATTTTCTCAGTGATATTGAAGATGAAAAAGTATTCATGATTGTGTCTAATGCACTGGGACAACATATCGTATCAGAAATTCAAGCTTTGCCACAATTACACTCAATTTATGTTTTCTGTGACAATCAATCGATTCATCAAGAGTGGGCCACAACAATACCTAAAGTAAAAGGTGTATACACACAAATTGAACCAATTTGTGAAGCATTAAAAACTGATTGTGAAAATTGTGATCGAGGTATGATCTCGATCAGTTTTAATCGTATTGATCCGTTATTTATGTATACACAATTGTTAAAAGAAGTACTTTTGGAAATCGAAGATGATGATGCAAAATCTATTAAGGAACTCATCGAATACTGTCGTCTTCACAGTGATGCTTCCGAAGTAACACTTGACAAGATCGAACGAGAATATCGTAATCATACACCCATTTGGTGGTACACGGCTCCATATTTTATCTACTCAATGCTCAACCGTGGTCTTCGACAAATGGATGTCGATATTATACTTAAAATGGGCTTTTTTATTCGCCATCTACATCAACATATTACAGACTTACATCGTGAACAGCAAAACAGCAAAGCAGCCATGCCATCAAAATTTCAAGTTTTTCGTGGTCAAGGCTTATCCATGGAAGCCTTTGAAAAAATGAAGAAAACCAAAGGTGAACTTATGTCATTTAATAATTTTTTGTCGACAAGTCATAATCGTGAGATTTCTTTCAAAACCTTTGCACGACCTGCAGCATTCGATGCAAATACAGTTGGCATTCTCTTCATTATGAACATCGATACGGCTATTTGCACAGCTTCATCGACACCTTTCGTCAACGTTAAAGACATTGGCTTCTTCGACGATAAAGAAGAAGAAATTCTTTTCTCGACACATACAATTTTTCGCATCGATCGTATAGAACGTATTGAAGATAAGCATACAGATCGTCTCTGGCAAGTCAATCTCACCCTCGCTGGTAATCAAGATGATGATTTTAACAAATTAACAGCACATTTAAGGGAAGAGCA